GGCCGCCATTCGAGAACCTTTCTTCCCCATCGGTTATCGGTTCTTCGAGCTATATGGCCGGCCCATTGCCACTTCAGCTTACTAATCCGTTGGGCTATGTCAGTCACTCTGGTTTTAGAGCGGATATTCTCATTTCTGAGTCTATCACGCAGAGAAACTCCGAGCATAGTCCTCTCCATAGCTCGCTGAGCGACCTTGAGCGTCCTCATACGGCCAGCAGTGAAGGACCACGTCTCAGATCTGTAAGTCATGACTGGCAACACGCACTGGTTGTACAATCTAGTTTTCAGAGTTTGGGGTATACCTGACGAGAAGATGTGCCGTAATTTCCCGAATGCTGCCCAGCCGAGTTGAATCCGTCGATTGACCTCTCGGTCGAAGTTGGACTTACCTAGTCGGACTATTTGTCCCAGGTAAACGTACTCGTCAACAACTTCGAGTTTAGTGCTCCCAACAACCACCGGCATAGGTCTGTCATGGACATTAAACATGATCTTAGTTTTGTCCATGTTCATCCTTAGACCGATCCGTTGGGAGACACCATTAAGGCCATTGAGCATAGTGCTTAGGTCAGGTAGATTATACCGTCGGCAAATCGAAGGTGAGTGATGTTCTTGCCATTGATGTTAATACCGTATTCTTTCCAGTCCAGTAGCTTGAAAACGTCTTCCAATGCATCGTTGAAGAGTTTCGGGGATATAACGCCACCCTGTCTTACACCTCTCTGCAGTTGGATAGGTTTCGAACTCTGGTTCTATATTCGGATTCTTATAGCCATCGTAACCCTACTGCATAAACACTTCAGCACTTCGATATACCGACTTTCAACTTTGCACCACTGAAGGGACTGTAGCACCGCTCAAATTTCGACGGCATCAAAGGCTTTCTCATAGTCCACATTCGCCAGGCAAAGTGGCGGATTGTACTCTTCGGTCTTCTGTACAATCTGCCGCAGGGGTATGTATGTGGTCTATGGTACTGAAGCCTTTTCGGAAATCGGCTTGTTCGGAAGGCTGGAAGTCGTCGAGTCTGCGTGAGAGACGATTCATAATGACTCTCGAAAACAGCACGTAGACGCGGCTCAGAAAGGAAAACGGTCTGTAGTTACAAGACCACCGCATTTCTGCTCCACGCCTCCGTAGTAGTGCCACCATGGAGGTCAGAATTGAAGAGCTTATGAAGGACTTTAAGTATCTGTGTTCCACCCGCTTTCAGAAGCACCGCTGTAATTCCATCCTCGCCTGGGGCCCCACCGTTTTTAAGTTGCTGGAGAGCCATTCTAATCTCGCTCAGACTGACCTCCGGGATATCATCGGAATAGTGTCGGATAAGACTTGCTCTTGGATCGTTACTCACACTTGCGTGTGGCTCTAACGATGATGTGTACAGCTGCCCATAGAACCTCTCAATCTCACTCAGTCTCAGGTGTTCCGGAAACGATGCTGCTACGCTCAATCTTTAGCTATGACAGTTAGCTCTTTCTGGCAGATAGATCTCTGGCAAAGACCTCGGAGCCCTGGTTCCGCTCGATCGCTTCTTCAATACGAGCCGTATTAAAGTTGCGTAAGTCCCGCCGCATGCATTTGGAGATCTGTCTGTTCAGTTTCCTGTATGCTGTCAAATCTACTGACGATTGCAGCCTCATCCCCCGTCGGTTTTGTAACTCGAGCTGAAAGGTTTCCGGATTTTGGATTAGAGCACGAGAGGGACGGAGCGTTGACTTCATTAGACGAGACCTCTCCAACTTAACGTTTAGGTTCAGTGTGCCTCTAACCATTCGGTGATCGCTGCCAGTTTTCACCGTTGCGATCACTGAGACATCACTGAACAGTTGCCGTCTAGTCGTCATAATGAAGTCAATCTCATTTGATGTGGAACCGTCGGGGCTCGACCAGTTTCACTTTCTGTGGGGCCGCCTCTGGAAGCAAGAGTTCACCATAAAGCGTCCCTCTTTCTCCATGAACTCGGCCAGCTGCTGGCCCCCTGGGTTCCGTCACCCTATCCCAAATTTCCCTACCTCCAGCTCACCTTTCTGACTGGTTTCATTCCACCAAAATTAATTGAAATTCTTTTTTTGTATCCATAGGTAACTGAGACCATTTAACTATATGGACTCGCTTCGTATCATTATTCCCCTCTGCCATGGTATTGGATTTAAATATCTTGTGCGTTTATAAAAACTGTTTACGGAACAGATTTTTACATTACAATAATCGTTTCCGCCGAAGTAGGTGTTCGTTGAAAAATGCCGTAATCTGTGCAGTTAACGTATGCCTAAAGCAGTTAAATACTTGAAATTTATAAAAAGAAGGAGTTACATTCCATACGTAAGTATTTTTATTTTGTTACATGCTTTTTTCTTATAAAATCATTTAAAATAATATTATAATAAATCGAAAATTTTACCGATTAGGTAATCGAGTACATAATATTTCATAAAAATCGTAGTGATAATCGCAATATGACAACCGCACTCCCGACGAGACTATAAGTTTTTTAAAACAATTTCAACCTTGGTTCACTATAAATTTGGTTCAAATTTGAACACGCCAGTACAGACGCACTCCTTACGTGATTAGTTTATTTTTGTATAGCAATTTCAACCAACAATGCGTAAAACTAAGGTCAAATTCTAATAAACGAATAACATGACAGCTAAGTAAGTGTGACGAGACTATTTCTTAACCCTGCAGATGCAGCGCCTTATAAAAACACTTGCTACACATCTATTTTATATATAACTGTAGGTGTAAAGCAACCGTTGACAACGGATATTTATCCAAAGCAGCCGATACGCAACCGTTGTTACCAGTTGTTTATCCGATTACAGACGAAAAAGGATGGTTATGTTTTTAGTGTGTGTGCTGAATCGTTTTTTGCAATGGTGCTTAAAAACTACTTGATCGATTTAAAATTCTGTCACCATTAGAATTCTATTATGACTTAGAAACGCAGGATGCATTTTATTATAGAGGGCGCTACTATCAACGAATATGTTTTTTTAGCTAAACTCGTAAAGTGCTTGACCGATTTTGAAAATTCGTTCACCACTAAAATGCGATGTACAATTATCCCTTAATTTGGCAAAGAATAAAATGTAATAAAATCATAATTTTTTTATAAAAAATTATTGTAAACATTTATAGGTGTTACAAAAAAATAGTGAAAAAAATCTAGGAACTTCAGATTTCCTGAAAAACAATGTATGTCACAGCATACATTGCCAAGTGCCCACAAAAACATTAAGGAAATGTGTTGTATGCCGGGACATACACAGCCAATTACAGTACAAAATGATAATAATAATACCAGAATGTTACTGTCCCACTGCTGGGCAAAGGCCTCTTCTAGAATGCAAAAAAAAAACAAGGTGACAACGCCTAGAAATGGCCAACTTTACTAAACCCGCACATGGTAGTCTAATTGACAATTCCTAGAACTTTTTCCGGTTACAAAGCACAGACGGACTTGGCATTTTATACATAACACTAACGTTAGCTTTGAACATAGCCTACAACGTCCTTGGCTGGTCATTGTCATAAAATGGCCAACACTGTCATAGCGTGATTGTGGTACACGCTTTGTGTGTTTATCGGTACGGGTGCGTCCGAACTTTGTCAACCGCTCAGAAATCTCAAATCGAAAATCCTTGAGAGGCTTCCATTGTTTTTGCGATTTTAAGAAATCTTGTCGGTATAGAAGAATAATTCTTGAAATCTTGTAGGTTATTGATACATATGTCGAGAATTTGCGCAAATATGCCGATGTACCAACGCCGGGTCTTGAATGGGGTTTTGTAAAGAGAAATGAGCATATCGACTAAATCGACTCCCCCCATATGTTTATTATAGTCTTTGACAATTTGAGGGCAATGTATAAAATGGTATCTTTTAATTTTTTCTTCTGGCTCTGCACCTACGTAAGAACTTATCAATGTTACGGCTTTGTTGTCGTTGCACCGTACTATTGCTAATCGGTTTTTATCGCAGACCACTTGAGCATAATTGCCGCGGAGTTTCTTTTTCATATCTTTTTCTGAGGGCAGAACTGCTTCAGCTCCTCTCAACCTGTTGCTCCTGACTGTTCCCAATCCAAATATTCCATAGTCTTCGCTAAGTATATAAAGTAGCTCCGGGCAAGTAAAGAAATTGTCGCAGAAAACAAAAGCCGGTTTATTTTTTATACTTTTACACAAAGCGATGACAACCTGAGCCCCAAATCCAATGGAAACTTCCTTATCTGTAAAAGTATGAAATCTAAATGTGTCCTCGCCACCATACAAAAGAAAATCATAAATCATGCCCGACACTCCAGCACGAACATAGTTTTTGAAGCCCCACTTGTTGGGTTTATCCTTCATATATTGACGTCGCTTACCCGTTTTGGTCCCTTTATAGGAAATCATCGTTTCATTCGGTTTCGTCAATGCTGTATTTCTTTTCATTATCTTGAGCTAACCAATTTTCTCGAATTTTTTTGTAATAAAGGCCTAACTTTATATCTGTCGGAGTCTTGTATATTGTTATCAACAAAATGCAAATGACGACGGATTTGTTGATACCGTTTTAGAGACATCAAATCGGCTATGGGATCGTATCTGTACCGCAAACTCCAGTAATCGGTGTAAGAGGGCATACTAATAACACCCATGATAATATGAATTGCTAAAAAATCTCGCAATTCATCTTCGGTCAAGCCAAGAGAGTGCCCAGTTTTGAATACTGCGTATGAGTTTGTTTGCTCTACGATATCTACTAAAACGTCAGGGGAAAAGAATTTATAGAAATAACCGAGTGAAGTTTCGTTTAATATGTCGGTGTGATTTGAGTCTTCTTCTACAGTTGCCTTGTGTCGAAAAACCGTTTTTTTCCACTGATAGTTCAGAGTGAACTTGGTGATTCGAATAGGTCGTCTAACAGCAGAAACAGTGGGCCGTTGCGATCTGGTATTTCTGGGACGCGACTTGGAAGAAGCCCTTATGCGAGCTGCAACTAAGCCAGTTATGGAGCCACTTGCGGTTCAGGCGGTGCCGGGGGTTCAGAAAGTGCAGGGGTTGCTGGGGTTGCAGGAGTAGCGGGAGTTGCTGGGAGTGACGGAATGTCACTCAGGATTGGCACTTTTTTACAATTTGGTTCTAGGGACGGGCTTGAATATACGCTTCGAAAAATTGGTGTGAGTCGAACATTCTGGTCGGAGCGGTCTTCATCATCATCTAAAATATTGAGCCTTTCCATTGAGCTATCTATAGAAGGTGCAGAGGAAGATGTCGCGGAAAGTGGGGTGCGCACACGTAATTCGTCGTCAGAACTTTCGCTACCGTCAGAGGGTGCATGCTCAGCAGGCACAAGCGCTAAAATTCTACCACCACGAGTTAGAAATTTTTGCTGCCGACAAAAAAATAAAGCGTGCTATAAAACCAAGTAAATAAAAAAAGCATCCTCAAATTGGCAATGTATGCCGTGACATACAAACAAAATGGCGGGTGTTTCGTTACAAACTTGGCAGTGTATGTCACGTCATACATCACGTTAGTGATCAAAATAGAACCATTCAATGCAATAGAAACATCACAATTATTATCACACTTATTCCATTACACAATAAAGCATACATTTTAGTCATTACACCTGTCCTAAACTAAGTAATATTCATAATAATAGAATGGGTGCGTTTGGCAGAAAAAAGCGCTAGCAAGCGCTTATAAGCGCTAAAATAGTTTTCGGCCAGGACACGATTGCTACTTCAGTAGCGCTGACACAATCCGCCATTTTGCTTATTTAATTTGATTGTTTTGAAGTAGAGTTTATAAGTTGTTTTGTGCAATATTAGTTTTAAGTAATATAATGACATGAATAAATATATACATGCTATTAAAAACTCATGATTGGTAAGTTTTTAATATGAATACTTTACAAACATATATTTAAATTAGGTTAGATTCCCCCGCTTAAAACTAACATCGTGTCCTGGAGGAAAATAGCTACTTACGATTTGACAGCGCTTACCGCTTACGAACGCCATTTTGCTTACAAGCGCTTGCTAGCGCTTTTTTCTGCCAAACGCACCCAATAAATACCTTGGATAACGCAGTTGACGTCCGCCGGGTAGCCATTTTTTTCAAGTTATGCATAGATAAATAAATATGTAGCAACTGTTGATTTAGGTCAAAATAAATGTTGTGCTACATGTGTGTTTATTTTTTCCACCAAATAACAGTTAGTGTTGCAACATAAGAATGTTAATTTTACACACGGAAGATTTTCAACACATCTTTTTTTTTTAAGTTCATGTATGACGGTACATACAGTGCCAAATTAAGGGTTAAAGATAATATAATTTATTAAAATAAAACTAAAAGTTGGAAAAAGCGACCCAATGCGAGTCAGACTCGTAAGCCCATGAAGAGTTCCGTAGTAACAAACATAGATTCTACATCGAGTCAAAATACCGCTATCATTATCACCAGCAACAAATTACTTTGTTTTTCAGTGTTTGTATAAATGACAAAGTTGTATTTGCGGTTCTTGAAAATGTTCTAAGTACTTGTATCTCAAAAAAATGGACTTTCTGTGGTATATTCATTACCAAATAGAAATAACTTATTGCACAAAAAAATATGTTTTTATCCATTTCAAGCCATCAAAAGCGGTTGGTAATGGTCGTCAACAATGATTTCAAAAGCAAGGATAGGCCCTTCTAAATATTTTACTCACGACTTTTTCATACAAGAAAAAGTAGCGCATCTGTCATAATACAAACGTCATATCAAAACACGACATAACTAGGGTCGGATTTCGTAGTATAATTATCCTAATTGTCATTGAAGTAATATGTACTTACGTACTAGAACAGCTATCTCAAACAAAAAATGTGCGCTACTCTGTGTTCGCGCGTTTGGTTTTTTTTATCATAGAATAAACATAGGTAGAATGATCCGTAGGTAATAGTAGATTGTATTGTTAAATAGCAAAATTATATCGAGAACAATATTTAAATTTTGTCATTTATTTTGTATATTATATTTGTTTATTTAATATAATATTACATAATATTATATCACAATTACATTTTAATGATATTTTTATCTGAATATTTTAAAAGGTATCTATGTCAAATATAAAAAATAATATACTAAATGTACCTATGTTTAACAAAACTTATTAACATAAAATTTAAATTACAAATATATTTATTTAAATTAGAATCATAAATGCTGTAAATAATCGTTTATAAATGCTGGGCACGCGAGAGTTAAAAATGGACGAATTTATTCAACTTTGACTTTGAAGTGCAAACCTAAAAACAAAATAAAAAGAATAGTAAGCAGATTTAAACATGAAAAATTTAGCTTAATTATAATAACTTATATGTTTCTACAAAAAAAAATGTGTATAATAATATATTCGTCCTAAACTTAAGTACCCACAGAAATGTCGCATCTGAACATATTAATTTCATAATCTATATTCAATGATACGAGATGGCGTCTTAGGAATAATTTTTTTTATTATTAATTTATAATACTTTTTTATTGAATAAGTATCTTATTAACCGATGAAAAGTAATTCCTTGGTTTTTACTGACATTTCTTGAATTATTTGTGCAATATCTAAGTACACAAGACGGCATATTTTTATCAAGAGATTTTTTTTTAAATCAACACAACACGTGACAACTCTACAAGCGCCTAGCGAGTGACTGAGTAAAGTGCAGTGCATGCACCGCAGTTGAGTGGAACAGAGTAGTTGAATGCAGTGTCTCCTCTAGTACGTAGTACATAATAGCTCAATGCTAATTGTATCATTATTTCATAGTTTGTAGTATATAGTATCGTAATAACACAAAGCGAAAATGCCATAACTTTACCTAAAGGTCGACATGTATTATTATTGGGTCCTTTTAAATTTTAATATTAACCCTACGATATCGAGAGTATTGTACATAAGTACCGCGTTTTTTAATAAAATTAGAATTAGCTCCCTTTCTGGTCAATCGATGGTCGATCAATGCATTTATGTTGCATCCTTGATACAACTTTAATGAGGGGCTACCAAGATAAAAACTCTATGCTCCAGAAGCAATCGGTTTGAAAACATAATTTCAAAATATTTTATGAATCAGATTTTCAGATTCAATTAAGTAGATCTGGTTTCTTTTGTACTCTTTTCGTTTTACCCTAATTGAATATAAAATATATTAGGTACCAATATTCAAAATTTAACTTAAACTAAGTTCTTTAGACAAAAATTAAACAGAAATAAAAATAAAACCGTCAAAAAACGAAACTTATAGATAAATTAGACGCGTGACGCCGAAATATCCCGGCAAAGAAAAAAAAAGAAACATGGAACGTCAAACGTGATTTTTTTTAATTAGTATAATTTTAATTTCCATGTACAATATTTTTGAAGGTCTGAATATAGTTAGTAATCTATGGTCTGAATCCAGCCCTGGCCTAATCTTAATAACGTAACTAAACTAACTGTAAAATAAAACTTTCAAAATGCGTTTATATAATAATTTAATTGTAACAAAATTAATATAATGTTATTTACCGTTGATACGATACCACATGTTTTTTTTTTATATCTTTGTTTCGTAATTTTTGCATTCTTTTACCACGCAACTTAGACATATTTATGATAGGCAAATCTGTCCTGCGCGCGCACTACTGTCGACCGAATCGCGTTGGTCCTAAACTCTAATTTTAGGGACAGCGCACTGGTCCGTTTTAGTTGTTCGATCGGCCCGGTCCTTACGCTAGTAATATATAAATAATATAATAATAATAATAAGTCAATGGTTGTCAACCGTTGAAAACAACCGTTGTTATCGGCTCGGTTGAAATCGTTGACAACCGCCTTCACGTCTATATCTATGACACACACGGTCGGTTCAACTTATCAGTCCAACTGCTTAGTTCAAAGTTTGAACTAAGCAGTTGGACTGATAAGTTGTTCGTTCAAGATCGTACAACAGTTTGAACTTCAAACTGTTGTACGATCTTGAACGAATTAACCACTGGACCCGACATAAAACACAAATGTATGAAAACTCGTTCAACCAAGTGGAGAATAACACGCACGAAGATTTTGTTACGTTAATATAAACACAGATACAAAATTCGTAGAAGTTCATTCTATTTCTAGTGCTTGATCGTAGTCGATTAAATATATCGATAAACGAATTGGAAAGAAAAGGCGTATCGTAAGTAAGCTGTAAGACAAAGGAAATAAAGGGATAATGATGGTAAGGTAAGCTTCCGGTATTTAAATTTTAATTAAAATAAAAGAAGCAGGACATTGTTATAGACTTTCTACTCAATTATAGTTATGATAAACGTCAATTTTTTTGTTAAGTTTAAATTATTTAAATAGGTTTACTGATTTTATTATGTATCATCTTTCTTAAAATGTGTTTCTTAGAAGTTATTTTGTTGGCTTGTTTTCTTATATAAGCAATTCTAATATTTAAATACTTTTCAGCAACGGCTTTCGTTAATTCTTCGACGTGATTTACTTCTTAGTTTTCAAATTTATGGAAATGAATGTCTTCGTACAACGGAAGCTGCAGCAATGTTTCTGTTACTTTCGACAGAAGAAAGTCTGTCGTGTAATCTCTTTTTAGTCTTTTATTCTGAACACCCATCCTAAGTTCGAGTTCGAAGTGCTAACAAATAGCTATGGTATCACTTGAGGGAAGTATCAGTTTTCCCTTGTCTTTATGGGCAACGAGACTCTTCTTCTTCCCTTGCCTTCATTGGTATAATTTTCTGTTTCTTTGTATTAGTATTAAAACAGGCAGTATCGAAATGTACACTGCATATGGCGCTGTGTTTCGTCGGAATCCAGATTTCATCTCTACGAACTGCTTCTACCCACTTTCTCTTCCGAGAAGGGTCACTGGGAAATCTGAAAATTTGTGTCATTTTTGTGTTTAAATATTTTAATACTAATTAGTTATAATTTTTGCATTTATAATATTTTTATTTAATTATAAAAATTATTAAGTATTATAAATTTAATGACATCAGATTGTAGGATACTGTCATTTAACTGAACCATTTACTACACCATTTAACTGAACAATTAGTCATTTTGGGAGATGTTTTGTTGACAAGTAAGTGCTTGAGACTGACGCAAAAACAAACGACCAAGGCTAGAATTTCCTGGTTGACAAGACCGGTATAGGTACGTCCGCTTATATGTCGGGTCTAGTGGTTAATTCGTTCAAGTGTATAGGTCGTGCCACGTAAGATAAAATTAAATAGAGTCCACTGCGCATGTACAATCAAGCAGAAAAATGAAAATTTTATTATGGCATTTTAATATGTAAAAAGTCAAAAGTCAACATTATAACTACACATCAAAGTCTCCACGAAAAC